CGAACCGAAGAAAATCAAGGTCTCACTTTACTTCCGTTTTGGAGAGAATACCCCGGGCTATCAGTCCATGAAAAAAGGTCAATGCATTCCTATGTGAATTTCGGCAAATCCAAGCTAGTTTTCCAAATCTTCGAATTCTACACTACTCAGAATAACACAAGACATACTTTAATGATACAAGACAAGATACAATAGCTTTATGAAATATACAAATATCAAATGATGATGATGATTGCAATAGTTCTAACAAACATTGTTTTGAACGCTACAGACAGTCTAAATATTATCTTAAAAATCGGAAACGATACGAAACTTATCGTAACTTCAGAAAAATCATCATGAAAACATTTCATGTCGATAAATAATACAACTTATCTAATAGAAAAGTCTCTCTATTCATTAGAAATATCGTTAGGATGACGATGATGCATCAGATAAACATCATTTATGTTTCTTGACTTTAAGAGTTACCCTTTAAAGTGTATTATCGATTGAGTTTTCATTTTTGCTTCTATCGTAAAGATATGTTTAGCGCTGTTGTATGTATGATCTAATTAAATAAGTTGAAGCAATCGCATTTCTGTTGCTCTTTTTGTATAAGAATAGATAATGTCTTATAAATCTGAAAATGTTAAAAAAACATTAACAAATTTTAAATCGGATGATGTTGAAAATAAAGATGCCGAAAGTTTATGTTCTCGTTTATTACAAGCCATCGGTGAATATCTATGTTTATTAGATGATTTCGAAGGTAACATCGAATGACGAAAGTTGAGGAAGTAATAATTGCTATTCTTTTTGTTTAGGTGAATGTCCTCGTGTCACAGAAAGTTTTTGTGATGAAATATCATCACTAGAAGAAATTCTGTTGTCAATTCATGACAATACAGCCAATAAAATAACTGAAGATCGATGTTTAACTCCAATATTAATAACAGCGACACTACTTACAGCATTATCTGGTTGTTCAAACTATGATGAAACAATTGGTGGGATAATAAGAGGATCCTGGCGTTTGTAATATATCCTGTACACTGATATTTTTTTAGGTCCATTTACGGTTAAATATGAATTTTTATCAAATTGGTTGCGTGCACTAGGTACAAGTCTATTACAACATTGCAGTGCGGTATCCGGTGATGATGTTGAATTTCGCGATGAACAATCGTGGATTTTAGAATTAAAACGACTCGAAAAAGTCAATTTATTAAAATATCTGGAAGAATTAATCTATGAACAACAAGAAAAAGAGAAGACAAATTCAACAATGACTGGCTATGGAACAATGACCGAAGATGATGAAACAATAACAAATCAAATATTTCAAAACGCATTAGAAGCATTCAAAGCACAAAGTTTAAAAAAAGATATTATTGGTAAATATTCTACGAGCGGCAAATACATTGAGTTAATCTGTTTTATACTCGACTAATGAAACAAAAACATGTCTCGGTTTTGAATGATGTTCTCTTAAAAATTGTGTATTTTTTAACATGTCTATTGGTCTCTTAGGCTTGTATAGAAAGTGCATCATTGAGTATATGCTAATTCACAGTATAAAACACAAACACATCGGTAGATTGACATACAGGAATCTCAAAAATATGCTGGGATTGCTGGACTTTCAACCTCAACGCCTCTACACGACGGAGTTTAGTGGTGGGTGCAAATGAACAACTGGTAAAACGTTCTATGCAACCTCAGTAGATTTTTGGATCAATAATTATATATATATATGCCAATAGATGGATGTATTGTGTATATACCCAACTATATACTTTCTATGGAACCCCAACAAGGGCATGAATATGTTGTTAAAATGAGCTTAAGAATATCTCGTATGAAGATATTTCAACATTTGTTTTTTAGCCGCGAAATTATCATGTTATATCTTATCGGATGACATCGACGGATTACAGGATATATGTGATATATTTAGATATAAATTAAAATCATCAATTCAGTGGCTAATGTCATCGTTGCGTTTGATATGCTATCGATCATGTTACATTATGGCAACGTTGAAAGCTCGTTTATACTCTGATATATGTGACTTAATTTCAATTGAGGATGATGACACAAATTTCAATAAATTACGAGAATTTGAGTTGTTTTACTCACGACCAAAATTAGAGCATGGTAGTCAATCAACATCCCTGTCAACATTTGATGAACTGTTAAGAGATCAGTTGACAACACTGGGTAAAGATGCGCACTTTCATCATGAACTGTTAGTTTATTGTATATGACAGAATCCTGCTGTTGTAATGTATCGCTACTATACTGATGTTTGCTCAATTTTTAGCTGAAACTGAGTGACTATTCTTGCTGCCAGCTAACAGCATGGAGTATTTTGAGTTTTTAACTAACACATTTTTCGCCGTATCCAATGTATGATTATCTATTGTAGGTTACAAAGTGATTCGAATTATCCAAAAAGAAGACTCAAACATGAGCGAAGTACCTTCAGCTTTACCACCACTCTCTATTTCAAAAACACCCTTCACATTAAAACCAGATACGGTCATCATGAAAAAGAGTGGTATTCTCAATGAAGACGTTTATATTGTTGACGAAAAATCAGTAACAACGTCTACAAAATGTATAGAGAAAAAAGCGACATTTGAATAATTGAGAAGTAACATCACGAAACTTTCCTATACATGTAAACAAAAACTGTCATTATATCAGTTTAAAAATTATATTTGTATATTACTATAAATATACAACGTAAACTGAAACGGTATATCGCGTTTATTCTAAAAAAACGATTTAACCAGTTTTATTTTTATTCAACTCTCTTGTTCTAAAATAGATGAGTAAGCCAAACTTTGTGAAAATATTTATAGGCAAAATAATTTAATTTAATCATTAAAATAATGTATAACCAACATAGTTTGTAATTTTAAATTATAATATAGCGTTGCTAAGTAATGACTTCTGGTTCGTACGATCAACAATATTCATCACTAATCCGTTTCTTTTAGTATCAGGAGATCAGAGGAAAAACAGTGATTCTGCTCCTAATTTGCAATTTTCTCCACCAGAACTCAACTTTTACGCAATGGAAATATCACATTCGAAATCAGCGCCAGAAATCGAGTCGAATGACGTACTGTTTGTATCCCACTCGATCATCAACGTTTTTCGAATTTTCAAGTAGAATAAATTACTGCGATTTTCATCAAAAAATGAAAATTCATGAAAAATTTTGAAATATGTATCATTCGACTCGATTTCTGACGCTGATTTCAAATATGATATTTTCATTGCGTAAAAGTTGAGTTCTAATGGAGAAAATTGCAAATTAGGAGCCGAATTCCTATCCCAGTAAAGTCGACTTTTCTCAGTGACGAAACAAAATTTTTCCAAACCGATACGTAACTTTTTTCTGTGTCATTCGTCGATTCGAATTATATATGAAAGTTGGAGAAAATTCTTCAAGTAATAGACTACATAGTTTTGCGAGAACAGAGTGTCACTGTGCCCCTAGCGGGTCCTAGTCGAACACTCTGAGGGAAAGAACGGTGATTAAAGTCGTTCAAACCGACATAGATGTACTCTGTTTTTCATGCTAAAGCCGAATAAAATAGTTTCAAAAAAGTTGAACTAGCTTAGACAGGCGAAATCTTAAATTTTCTCAAAACTGGTCAAATGTTCGCTTTTCAACCATTAACTTGTATTTTAAAGACGAAAAAAATCAAAAATGACATAACGGGTGGCCCAGATAAAACCGGCCACTTTTGTTCGTTGTTTTTGAGGCACTGTCCAGTAGTTCCAAGAGTTTGTTGCAAGGTGAATCGATAGAGAATTGAATTCTCTACAAAACCTGCTATTTTAATCTCTGGCAGCATTTTTCTTGTTTGAGCACCATTCAATATTTTTAATGGTGCTGAGTTGTCGAACTACGACGTGCTTTTGACGACTTCTTCTTTGAGATTTTTATTCCATTGTCTGTGGTTCAATAGTTAATTTTTCTAGGTAGAAAGATAGATAATTTTGTGCTCTATCGATCTCACTGATATACAACTTCATACAGTGTTTTCGCTACGTCAGTTGGAGTCAAAATTAGTTCTCAACCGGCTTTTCAATTTTTTCAAATTAAATTAATTGTTTTAATTAATGCCAGAGATTAAAATAGCAGGTTTTGTAGAGAATTCAATTCTCTATCGATTCACCTTAAAACAAACTCTTGGAACTGCTGAACAGAGCTCTGCAGGTTGCCCGTATTTGGCAATCTATAACCTAACCTATAAAAAATTTCACAATCTAATCCTAACCTAACCATTGAAAAAAAAATAGAACAACCTATAACCTAATCTAGCCTATAACTTTTGCAACCTAATCCTAACCTAGGATCAATCTGCAGGGCTCTGCTGCTGAACAGTGCCTCAAAAACAACGAACAAAATTGGCCGGTTTTATCTGGGCCACCCATTATTCGTGATCTCCTCAACGATCTCTACCCAATCATGTATGATTCGACCAAATTCATTTCTACTCCTCTGTTGCATTTCCCGCATCTTACAGATAATGATAAATATGATATTCTAGTAAAAGCAAAACAAGTGATAAATTTTGACTAAAAGAGATGAATCGATCAACCAGAGGAGTTCGTTGGCTGTCGTAATTGACACAGTACGAAGAGAAAAAAAGAAAAATGTTCAGTTGTTTTATATTCACCACAGTCGCAACTTTGACTAGTGGAAAAATCTCTTCCGGGTTCCTCTTCGTCTTTGCTGCTGATGTTAGCGGTCGATTCCTAATATTTACCAAAGACAGAACATCACAATAGAAAATCGATATATTTTTGCCCAGAATTCCGAGACATCTACGAAATAAATTAATCATAAACCAAATATAAATGAGCGGTGAGTATAAATCGGTCACGTAAAAAAATCCAAAATTTACTTGAAAAGAAAAAATGAACCTATGCTAGAATGAATAGATTTCTAATGTAAACCTTTACTCAGAAATGAAAAGACATGTTCTTCCATGGGTTTTCTGAAAAACTCAGATTTTTATTGGAGTAAAGTAAGAATCCCCGAGGAAAGGATCATAGTGTACTTAAACAGTGACATTTGTGTGCGGTAGTCCTGCATTTAGTTTCATAAATAAACTTTCCAGGTTACGAGAAGGGATACTTTAAATGTTAAACTATTTCCAGCGTTACGATTTCTATTCCTTGATTTTTTAGAAATAATTTAAGAATGACAAGTGGCTTAAACATGTCTACAGATCATATACTAGTGTTTTATCTGAATTAATTACCTATGGAAATTCTCTTGATAATTTAATTAAAACAAAAACACAATAAAAAATTCGTAAACTGCGATTATAACACGCTAGTGATGCATGAATCAGCATTGAACTAGTTTATTTATCGCTTTTGCGAAGCATACGTGTATATTAAGAGAATATAAAACTATTCACATTTTTATAATTCCCAGTTGATTATAAAACTTGTTATATACTTTTATTACGAAATAATTTATTCCTAAACCAAACATAAATAAACGGCGAGTATAAATCAGTTATGTAAAAAAACCAAAAATTAACTTGAAAAGAAAAAAAATGAAACTATGCTAGAATAAATGAGCTTTCTAATATAAATCTTCACTCGGAAAATAAATGAATCTGTGCTTGTATATCTGTGTGGTACAAAAATAAACAGAGAATAAACTAGAATACTGGACGATATTAATAATCCAATTACAATATAATCCTATGTATTTATTGTAATGATTCTTTTCCAATTGATTGAGCTGCTTGTTGATCAATTAATGGTGGGGCAAACGATGAAGTTGTTTCACTTGTTTCAGTAAATGCCGCCGATTCACCGGACATTGTCTTTGGTATGGCATTTTGAATAGCTGCGGTAAAATGTTCTTGTGATGATACCAAAGATTCACCACCAGTATGATGATTAAATGTACCTTTTGTAGGTAAACCTACAACACATTAAGCACATATATAAATATCAGATGACGTGAAATGCTCAATTTTAGTCTATTTTTTTACCATACTATCTTCTCACAGTGGGCAATTTTGCCTAGGCATGTGGACATTGGATTTTAAAGCGCTGGAAAGATCTCTCAGATATGTTTTTGTAGGTTTTCGAGTGTGCTCTTTCTAATGGAGTCACTGACAAAGTTCAAAA